GTGTCAATTGAATTAAATAGGGCATTCCTTAGTAGGAACAAATTTGAAAAAAAATTGCACATGAGCGATGCCAATTTAAAGGCATTTCTAACCAACCTGGAATGGAATTTTAAAGCGCCAAGTCAAATGAACTGACTTTGCTGCGTTAAACAGTATATATTGCTCTGATGGTTATCGTTACTAGATTAAGGGCACTATTTAAAGAGTAGTCTTTCCCCAAGCTTCGCTCAAGTGTGAAAATTAGATAAATCTTTGATATGAGTGTGATAAATCTAAAAATTCTGATCTTTTTTATTGAAAGGACTGACTTAATTACCATACTTGTACTCATTTATGGTTTAAAAGTCGCTTTTAAAAACTACTATTAGATCTAATATATGCAACGTATTCACTAGTTCGTTAAGATGCTGGAGCACTGGTAGTTTAATTTCATCACAATGATAAGAGTAGACCTTCCTTTTTCATTGATGTTTACATATCCTTGCTGCTTAAAATCTATTTCCATCAAGCTTGAAGTGGATTTTAGTTTCGACCTTGCCATTCCACATCCTAAATGGGGATAGAATCAGTGCGGTGCGTAAACTCAAATACCCAGCTATAAACAAAAAAAGTAATGTAGTTGAATACTATAGCGATTACAACATTGCTCCCTCATCAATCCCACCACATAATATGTTCTGTAAACTTAAAGAAATAGGATGAACGTGTCTCGTATTATTAAACCTAATTCACTACAACCTCATATGAACGTGGCCTTATTAAACCGAATTTTTAGCTAATGTCAATGAATTAGGCATTGAGAATAGGAGCTTCTTTGGCTTTGGAGAACTTTCACCTTCGTTTAAAAATGGCTTCTACAAACCTGCATAAAATTATCTTTTTACCCATATTTTATTCGTGCTAAACAGGTAATATTTACGTAATTCTGACCGGCAATTGCGTATCCCTCTGCCTTGGAATAGTGCTGCCAGTCATAATAACTTTCATTACAACTCGAAACTGGGATGAAAAGATGCAAAACCCAGATGTCTATTGGGATGCAGCAAGGGACATCGACAATCCACTAAAGCCCTGGCCTGAACTTTACGCCGAGTAAGTTTAATTATATTTGACATGCCTGCTTCATTGAAGTGAAAAAGATAAATTCAGGCAGATACTAGCAAGAAAGAGGCAGAAGGCTAATCTGCGTCACTTATGGGAGAAATATAAACAGATTTAAGATATTGAAATATGCAGTTTATAAGCCTACAAAGCCAAAATATAAGTTTAGTGTAAGCCCAAAGCACAGCATAATCGAATGTTTTCTCAAGAAAATAAACTACGGCTGTCACTCGACGATTTTTAGATGTGTTGAGTTGGAAACAGGAAAATGCATTTCCCATAATGTACTCCCTATTCGCTTCTTGTGGGTATAAAATGCCATATCAGAATCCTACTCACAGACGCTAGAATTTCTCGTTAACCAGTAACTCACTTCAGCAAGGTGCTATTTGCTAAGATTAATGAGTCCGTATTTGGAGACACCACCAAGAGAAGTATTGTAATGTCGCCTGTCATGTGAAGAATAAAATCTTGGCACGGTTACCTAAACTAATTTCCCGGTTTTAGCCAGTGTATGAATGCTTGTATTCCAATTGGCCATATGAAAAAGCAATCTCCTATGGTTACTATTTTAAGAGAGCTATTCAAAGCAATGTTTTCAGCATAACAACCAAAACTGATTGCCACTTTTCGGCTCAGAGCATAAAGTTTCCTGTTTACTACATTTTTGCAGGTATACAAGAGACGTGCAGCCTATAATAAACTTTGACCTGTGACATATGGAAACATGAAGATGGGTTCTTTTATACACTTGACCTTATTTTTCAGAAAGCTTTAGTTTGCCTCCAATACTAAGTTAAACTTTTACATGTTGATGTATTTTAACAACACTATCACAAGTTTGCTAAAGTCTTCACATTTTCCTCCATCACATACGGATCACAGATCCATACACAAAGATATTTAATATATATGTGTATAGATCTTAATAAAAGTAATACTAACATTGAACCGAACAGCGAATTATCTGGACATTACGTCTTGTCACTTTCTAACTATATAATTAGGCCAAGTCTGTATATACCCAGCAATAGTCTATGGAAAATGGAATTCCGTTGAATGAGACAAAATAATACAAGACATAATTACCGGTATTTGCTTCTCGCATGTTTGCCTATGAGATAAAAGCCTCTAACAATCCAGTTTCACGGCAGATGCAAACTCAGCTATGAAGACACAATTCTGAAAAAGATTTCGACGGATGAGCAGCTCAGAAATTTTCGTCGGCCAGTGCTATTGATAGAATTCTCATAGTTGTTATTCAAAAACTTCCTGCGTCGACCAGAATCTGTAATTAAGTTTCTTGTTTTAATGTATTTATATTCGGAATTGGTAGTTTTCCAGTCTAATAGTAATTCGAGTAGATGAACTTAGGCCCTCTAGTTTCCATAAGGTGAGCCAAGACTAGGTAGTTTACCACGTAATCCTTCCTTCCGAAATTGTATCTACTCCAGTCTGGACTGTGGTTTCGACCTGTCTGAGTCTGATCAACACCAAAGCATGGCTAAGTGAAATGCAATGGTATCATGAGACTTACTCAAAGCAGTGTTAGAGAAACTTCACTCTCAGGACTTAGAGTGTAGCAGTAATTGTTTGTGAAATAGGCAAATAGAATTCGTAGAAATAATTTAAAATTTCTAGTTAACAACATAAAAATCAAAATGCTACATTTTTTAACTATTAAAGCTGTCCATAAATGTAATCTTTTTTTCCTGATCACTTTTATGTGTGTTCATTTATACCTACAGAGAACTTCGTCTCATAAACCCTGAACGCCTTGACGATGGCCGTCCCTGCCTCTACGACGTTAAACGAGCTTTTCGTGGCACTATGCATGCCGCTGTTTTCATCAGTGTAGTCTTGACCTTCGTTTTTGTCGTGCTCTGGCCATCAATTGCCTGTGGCTTGGGGGTCATGAATTATGAAGAGTTCCTCGCATGGGTAGGCCGAATAATTGCAATCAGATTTAGTCATTATAATTTAGTTAAAGTAAAATGTTGGCCAGTGATGCTTATTGTTATATTTTGGCATTTTGGCATATTAACCAAATTTTGGTATGAAAGTGATCCAAATTCATAGCTTAGGAGAATAAACTTGCATGGCAAAAGATAGGCTCTCATTTGACGTTAAATATGGCTTTGAACGCTAAAAATCAGTTTGGGTTCTTGTGTTAAAATAATTATTACAGTTTCCTCAAGTTGCTTACACAAAACTACTAATAAGTTCAGTCTTGTCTATCGTCAGACCCTAATTAAGGTGTACTATATGATCTGATCTTGTAGCGAATTCAGTATTTGTCTCGCTCTCAAATCTTTTGCTTATGTTGGTAGTACTATAACCATTTGTCTTCAAGTTTCAAATATACGATGCTACAATTCCCATCTTACCTAATTCTTTTAGATACATTGTATAGGGACATAAAATCATCAATGAACTTGTACAAAAATCATTCGTTCAATTTTATTTAAGGAGGTTAATATACAGAAGACCAAAAGTTGCGCTAACTTGTGCGTAGTGTCTAATGCTAAACCAATAATATTTAGTTATTAAATGCATAATTTTCAATTATAAGAAGTTAAAAATTAATTTTCTATTTCATTTTATACAGACGCTAATCATGGAGATTTGGTTGATTTGTGCAACTATGGCTGCGTTTTTTGTGCCCTTGATCAGTGAACTTTATAGAATGAGAAAAGCAATACTCAAAAATCGGATAAATAAATTGTTGGACAAGCATGAATCGGGAAAGTCGGAAGAAATAGAGTAGGTTGAAACAAAACTTTTGTCTATAAAATTTTCAAAAAATCGGAAAGCTAAAATGCCGTCCATCGAGCCTTTCAGTTGCTTAGTTACGGCAGGAATTTTACTTATATAGCCTGGAAAATCTAATTCCATCTCTCATTCATTTGTCTATTTTTGTATTGAGTCAAGTAGAAACCCATCTTTTTTGCTGCTGTTAAAAGCTTTTAAAGGTAACAATTCGAGTATCGAACGCAGTTGAGTTATGATGGAATTTCCTTTGGAAACTAAACTAAGAGTACCTTCAGTGTTTTTTTCCAAATGTCAGTAATAATCAAGAAATATAGAATTCCGCTTTGTTTAGATAGAACTCGGCTTTCAAAGTCCTTCTTATCATGTTTCTGATCATA